ATTTCCGCCTTTCTCGCAGAACAAACTGAAGCACAACCAGAGGAATGAGACGAAGGTGAGGACGACGTCAACGACCACTGAATCCATGCCCTTGTTGGAGTCGAGTGTGAAGAACTTTGTGGAACTGCCGCTGCAACAGCGTGAACCTTTCATCCGACCCATGTCRAGCTTTATGGACGACGGCTCCACAGAAGTGTTGGGCGCTGCGATTCCCGTTGTGGGCGAGGCAGAGGTGGAAGTAGTAGACCCTATCAAGTACGAGGAACTTTTGAAGACATCCCAGTTCGCGGAAGCAACGTCCACGGAACCGAGTCCACATCGCTTAGTTACCCTACTGCCAGTACGCTCCAATTCCGGTATTCGCACCTTCAAACCACCCACAGAGGAATTAGAGCAGGATTCCCAACGTAGTCAGAGTCAAGTAGAGATAGCTCCTGAAGCCTCCAAACCACGGTCCAAAGGCAACAGCAGTATACGCCGCAAAACTATCCCGAATCAGAGTCGAAGATTTGGTCAACCGCCCGCGGAGGCGGTTGTCAAGGGTGGAATTAAGGTCACGGTCAAGAAATAGAAGCTCACTAAAACAAAAAGAAAGTAAAACAAATAATAAGCAAATATTTAGAAAAGCGTCTCTAAAATATTTAGTTGATAAGTAGAAAATTTAAGAGCAATTTAATTAAATTAATTTTAATACATTGAACTCAAATCTTGTTCGAAAATTGTTCACAAATCCGAAACCGAACAATTTTGGAATGACAATTTTTTAGTATTTGGCAAAAATAAAAGCCAAATTAAGTTAAGAATTTTTTATTTATTGTATACGATTTAGAAGCTGTTTAGTTTTTTTTCATTTTTTATCAAACACACAATCAAATATTATATCTCCTACAGCTTAAATTTACGAAATTAGGTTAACAGCTTAAAAATAAGTTACAATTTAGTCAGAAAAGCTTAAACTTGAATAATGAATAAATTTATATGTAAACAATTTGAAATAAGGTGTTTGAATTATCGTTACACTAGTTTTTTTTTATCGATTATTGGCTTGGCAACAACTTGCGGCTTATCGTAAATAATGGTCGCTGTGGTAACCCTAAATGGCTGTCTGCTTTCTCTGACCCAGCCCTGGTGGATTGGTCTATTATTTCGCGGTTTTGGTTGTGAGAAAAAGAAAACAAATATTGATTGGCTCAAGAATAATAAGTTGTTAATTACATTAAGTGTTATAAATATATTTAATTGAAACCATGGGTTGTGCCGAGAGCAAGGATGGCGAGGGTGAAGCTCAAAGTAATAGAAATAGACCCAAATATCGCTCCTGCACGGATGTCTTTTGGTTGGCTATTTACATATTGTTTTGGCTCTTTTTGGTAAATGATATAATAAAAGTGAAATTAAATATGTTTTTATTGTTAAGTGTATATATGTGTATTCAGACTTGCCTAAAGGCTGCTAACTTAGATATTTATTTCAAGAAAGTGAAAGCTGCAAAGATTAATCATAGACAATTGCAAGTTGTCTCATTGGATGACGGAAGAAAGGGAGGAAGAGGTCGCCGGATGAAACAGATGCATGTGACGTCATCGTTGTCATATGAGTGGGAATTGCTAATTTTGCTAATGTAAAACTGACCACAATGAATAATGAGGTTAATATGCCTCATCCTCTTCCTCCTCCTCATCGCCTCCTGCTAAGCCTGTGCATAATTATTAACGTTCTTTTTGCTTTAACAATTGGTTTTCCTCACGCGATTTCCATGCTCCATGTCAATTTTTAAGCCGTGGGCGTTGCCTCCATCTGTCAGTAGCACATACATACACATATTATCATATATTATAGATATACAGTAGTAACACATGCATACAAATCTTTATCATATATAATAGGTCTTTCTATTAGCATGCAGATTAGATCATTTTTATTTTGTTTAATTTGCTTGCAGATTGTCATCGCGATATTTTCGTTTGTGTTCGGCAATCCCTTGCGTCTAATTAATGGCTATGATTCCTTTGGCAATACTTGCGGCGTCAAGCACAATGAAAAATTTCAGAACTTTCCTCTATCAGGCATGAATACGATTGACAAACCGGAGTTGCTTTACTTTGACGTTAAGGAGCTGAAAAAATCCTTGAAGATCTGCGTTAAAAGCTGTCCGAAACGGACGCTCAATCAGCCAAAAGAACTGTATCAATACTTCACTGAGACCGGTGCCCAATATTGTAAATATGATTATAATATGGCACAATTGGATAAGCCGGGCATGACCAAGGAAGATAAGACGTTCAATACTCTCGGACCATGTCCTACTTTACCCATCTTAGAGAGGTAACTCAATTGACCATCAAATGGACTGTTATTTCACTTCACATTTGTCTTCCAGCTCGCCCGTACTGCATCGCTGTGTGCCGAAGCAATCTAGCAAGGAGGTTAAGGAAATGTACAAGATGCTTAACAATTGGGATGTAGCTCAACAGTTTCTTGGCGACATCTACTCCACGTGGCATATCATAGCCAGTGTTTGTGCCGTTTCCCTGCGTATGCCCTTAATCTATATTTAATACTATAAATTATAAGCTATATCAATGTTATATTCGTCTAGTCATATCTATTGCTTTGGTCACCATGATGCACTGGCTATCCCGCATTGTCTCCTGGCTCATTTGCGTGCTGGTTATTGTGGCCAGCATTGGTCTAACAGCAGCTCTCTGGTATGTCTACTACGGCATACGCAACAAGTCAAGTACGACGCAATACTCGCAGCTCGAGGAGTTTCTGCGCAATCAGCAGGCTGTGTTCACACTCGCTGTGCTGGCCACTATAACCATGGTGAGCTTTAAAACTAAAGTTAGTATAATATGGAAAATCTATAATTCATTTGTGTTGCTCTGCAGGTTGTTTTGCTGGTCATTATATATTTCCTTAAGAACAAGCTCTCTGGCCTAGCTGCGCTCTTCGAGGAGGCTGGCATCTGCATGATGAATTTGCCTGGACTATTAATAGCTCCGCTCTTGGCATTCCTGGTGCTCATTGCCTTTCTTGCATTTTGGGTGGTTGTTGTCATCTGTTTGGTAACCGCAACAACGCCCGATCAAAGTCCCATCGCACCGTTTCACAGCAATGCGGTGCATCCATCGCTGCCGGCCAATGCAGCCGCAATGCTGCTCAATCAAACAGCTCCCAGCACCGATGAGAGAAGTAAGTGATCAATGTAACTAGATTTAACTACATAACCTAGTCTGTTCAACTATAGCATAAGCTAAATGCTTTGGGACTACCAACTCGCTGAGTACTCAAGCGACCTAAGAGCCTAATTTATTTACCCCAAAAGATCTGCTAAATTAAAAATCTTTGCGGTTTTATTGTATCCAAAAATATACTTCAAAATTATTAATCCTCTGCATATATTTTTGGGTTTTGGTTTGATTGTTCAAAATCGGGTTATTTAAATGTGTAAGTGTTTACATCAAAATTTCATTCTAAATGCTTGCATGCTTCATTTGGCATTAGCCTTCTGTATATATATTTGTTTATCTTTGTGTATTTTGTATTGTATGTAATTATAGCCGAAAACATTTGAAATATTTTTATACTTAACTTGTATATATACTATATTCTTATATTTACCTTTTTGATTAGCTTACCTATACAATTCTTTGAATATCTTTATGTATGGATTATTCCATTTATTGCATGTTAATAACAATTTATGCTGCCCCTTTTTAGCCATAACACGCATAGAGTATGCAGATGCAACTGTTTTGCGCAGCATGTTCTGGATTTATGTGGTTGGCTTGATTTGGACGGTGGAATTCATCTTTGCCTGCCAGCAATTCGCATTGGCCGCTGCCGTGGCCTTTTGGTACTTCAGCAAGCCGACAACGACGCCAACTATCTATGCTATTGGCAAATTGATCAAATACCATTTGGGCACCGTGGCGAAGGGTTCCTTTGTCATAACTATATTYAAAATACCGCGATTGATATTGACCTATCTTTATGCCAAGTGAGTTTTATGCTATAACTGCATAAATATAGATATCTAACTTATGTTTGTGTTTCTTTCAGGTTGAAGAAGGGCGAGGACAAAGGCTCGGAATGCGCTGCCTGCTGCTTGAAGTGCTGCATTTGTGGCTTTTGGCTGCTGGAGAAATTTATACGGTTCCTCAACCACAATGCCTACACTGTGGTGGCCATTGAATCCATCAACTTTTGTCCAGCTGCAGGCATTGTACGCACAAGTCTGTGTTATGTATATATTCAGCTTATCAATATATTTATTTATCTTTTAGGCCTGGAATGCTATGGCCACCAATGCGCTGCAAGTGGCCACGATTAACAGCATTGGCGATTTCATTTTGTTCTTGGGCAAAGTTGTAGTGGCTGCGCTGTCGGGTCTGCTGGGCATCTTTATGCTGAAGGATAAGCCAGGCTTGAATTTCTAYATGGCGCCCGTGATTCTGATCATAATATTCTCTTTCTTCATCGCACATATTGTGTTGTCGCTCTTCGAGGTAAAAATGACTTCAATTTAATTAAAAATTCGAAAGTTTTTATAATCTATTCTTAGATGGTTGTCGATACACTCTTCCTGTGCGTTTGTGAGGACAAGACTATTAATGGACGCGCTGGTCGTTGGGCTCAGAGCAATTTGGCCAAACTGGTTGGCGAGGAGCCGCTACAGCCAGGCGAGGAGCCGCCCATCCAGGTGTACGAGATGATGCCCATTAACAAGCAGCCGTTTAGCATTACTCGATTGCCGCCCACTGATGCCGAAGTCTCCCCAATGGCGGAGTAATTCAGCAACTCATCCATTCAGCAACAAAAGACGCTTTGTTCTTCTATATATGTATATCTATGTATTCCGTGCTCCCATCATAATTAAGATACTCTTGTCTCTCCGTCTGAACAAAAATAACTCAACGTACAAAACGTAGTGAAAAAGGCAACATATTTATATATATATTTACATATATCTACGCGTATATTCTATTTTGTAAAACGTGAACGAAAGTAACTGAGGCACAATATTGTAAACGTATTTATTAAATGTATTCAGTTTTTTTATATATGTATGTATTTATTCGTAAATGTAACGCGAAATAAAACATTTTTAAACTTTTTTCTCTCGTTTGACCCTTGCTTTACGCTGTTCGATCACCTGCTTAACGGCCTCCATTTGCTTGTCCTTAATTTTCTTGGTCAACGCCGATTTAGGAGTTTTCTTCTGCTCCAGTTGCTTTTTGGCCTTAAGTGCCAGCAACTTGGCTGTCTCTAGTGGATCCGCATCGTCGAACAGCTCCTCATTGTCAATGCCCTCATAAGCCTTGACTGGTCGCGTCGCTTCCTGCTGCACCTTTTGCTCCACACGATTTACATATCTGTCCTTAGCTGCTTTCTTTAACATTTGTCGCTGTTTGGAAGGACTCACATAATCGGGATTCTCCCAGATGGCTTTGCCGGTAAACGAGCCATCGAATATCTTCACGGGATTCATTACATAGCGTGGACCCACCTCCGAGAGACCACCGTCTTCGGATAGTATTTGGAAATTCCTAAACCAAATGCGATTATCCAGATAGGTAAATGTGTAGACATGATCAATAAAGGGCTGACTCTTCGGATGATGATTGGGCACTGAAAATGTTTGCACAAACAATTCCTTAAGAAGTTTTAAGTGGGGCACCTCGTCGAACTTGGCATCAAAAGACAGCAGTGGCCGAGAGCCTCTTAAACAATTGCCTGTTAGTTTCAGCTCGGCCATTGTGTGAATATTTTCAATGAGAAATTTGGCTGACGGCCCTGTGGCTCCCGCTGTGTTAGCCAGCCACATATATAAATCCCGTTTTCGACGTCCCTCAAACAACATGGCCTTGTTACAGTGCTTCATTTCACACATTTCATTAACAACCGCCAGCGTCTTTGATCGCTCCATTTTCGACTCGGGTCGATGATGGGGCATTAGAGTTTTAATGTCACGCATCAGATGTCTGTCACGATGGCTAATACCACGAGCCGCGAACACCAGGACTCGTTGTTTATTTATCCATTTTTCCTGCAAAAATATTACAAATATTGTAAAAATGCATTTCATGTTTGAATGAGATGGATTTACCTTCTTCGGAACCACCTCATCAGATGGTCTTTGGCTGGGTAGAGGTGGATTCTCATCCAGTGGCACTATCTCCAGCTGCTCAACCTTCTTTTTCTTTATGAATTTGCGCCCCATTTGCAGTTTTGTGCGGTTTTCTAGTTAATATTGACCACTACGCGAAACAACGTGGAGTTGAAATGAATAGAGATGTGCATAACCACAATATGTAATATCGATAGTTTTTATATCATCGAACTAGTCGAACAGAAGAATGTTGTTCATTGATCCCTTTAGCACACCCCATTTTATTTGTAACAATTAACTTAATTCTAAAATTTATCATAATAATAATAACAATATATATATATATAGCATTTAATCTAATTCATCAGTATCCCATCCAGGCTCGGGGCATTGGCTGCAACGGCTCTCATTTATCCCGTAGCCCAAGCAATGACCACCAACACATTCACAGCAGCCATCGTGAAACCACCTGTAGCTAGCTGCACCTGTCGCTTGGCAAGTTTGTCGACACTTATTCCAAGAAGTGCACTGGTCCAGATACAAAACTGTGCAATTACGCATCACAGGTTCATCGTCGATTTCATTGCTGTATTTTGGGAATGTGTGCACATGCCAATCGTAGGTGTAACCGTCGTTTGGTGACGATGTTAGTGCCTCGAATAACGCTGTTGCTCCATCAAAATCCTCCACATGCGACTTCTTAGACATCTTAGCCATGTCGCCACGTATAAGCTGGATGGAGATCACCATCGCCAGCATCTGTATTGCTCCTCTTTGTATCGATTTCATTTTAAGAACTAATACCTCGTTATTGGTGGGTTGTGTTTTATATAGATATTGCACACGGGTGATGATGAACTCCTGTAAATTATTGAGGCTGCGCAGCAGGTAATTCAGGATCAACAGAGCATCTGCTCGCCTACCTAAGATTTCAACAAAAACATTTGCCAAACATTAGTGTTGCAAAGCGACGTTCTTGTTAGCAAAACAAAAAATAAAAGGAATACAATGAAATGCCAATCGATAAGTACCTTCGATAACTTATACAATAGTATACACAAAGTCTTCTCTGATTATTCTGCCATTTTGTATTCGGCGTCCGGCCAGCAAAATAAAAACGCAGAAAAACTAGGTTTTGCAAAATTAAATTTTTTTTTTTTTTATTCAAAATAATAAAGTATGTCAGACTATCGCTCTCAATCCCGTGGTGGAGGCCGCGGTCAGGACTATTCAAATGATGACGATCCGCCTATGTCGCGACTTTTCATAATATGTAACAAAGCGCATACCGAAGAAGATTTTCGCGAAGCGTTCTCACCTTACGGCGAAATCGAGGATATTTGGGTGGTTAAGGATAAGCATACACAGGAAAACAAGGGTATTGCATATGTGAAATTTTCAAAAACCTCCGATGCAGCCAAGGCCCAAGAGCAGATGAATGGCAAAACTATTGGAAAAACGGACAGAACTCTCAAAGTGCTGGTTGCCGCAAAGTAAGTGACCTGGCATAAATTTTTTTTTTTCTGTTGCTGAGGTCAGCATAAATTTATAACTTTGTCATCATAATTTTTTGCAGTCGTAATCAGGGTTCGAATAAATCGGAAAACGAACAGGAAAAGTATGTGCGATTGTTTATTGTTATTCCAAAAACCGCCACCGAGGACGACATACGGGATGAATTTTCTCAGTGGGGTGAGGTGGAAAACGTCACAATTGTACGGGAAAAGAATAATGGTAATCCCAAAGGTTTCGGATACGTGCGCTTCACAAAGTATGTATCCACTTCTGTCCTGTCTAGCATAAATTCACATGCCTAAATTTAAATATATATGAATATATATACTTTTTATAGATTCTACTATGCAGCTGTGGCATTTGAGAATTGCTCATCGAAATATAAGGCCGTCTTTGCCGAACCCAAGGGCTCCACACGTACACAGCGGGATCAATATGGTCGCCTCGCTGATGATAGTCCAGTGTATCCATCGGGGCGTGGGGGTGGCGGTGGTGGCTCGAATTACAATGGTGGTAGTGCCGGCGGCGGTAGTGGTGGTAGCTTTAACAACGATTGGAATGCATCGGTCAACAGCGACATGTCCGCATTTCTACGAATGCAAAATGTGCCTGTGCCTCAACCCACGTGTTTGGAAGTTACTGTCAGTAATTGTGTAAATCAAGATCAGCTGTGGCGTCTCTTTGATATAATACCTGGGTTAGATTACTGTCAAATTATGCGCGAGCGTAAGTTGGAATGAATGTAAATATAATATAATCATGTATTAATATGAATTGATTTTTAGATGGTCCACGCACGAATGAAGCTGTAGTCGTATACGATAACCCTGAAGCAGCAATATATGCCAAGTATATAACATTTTACTAAGGTATTCCTAAGGACATTTACTTAATCCTAATTTTATTTCTATAGGGATAAATTGCATGGGCTGGAATATCCCATGGGCGAGCGCATAATTGTTAAGGTCAACGGCATGAGTTCTGCTCGCATGGACACTTCTTTCATTGACAGTAAGAAATGGTGGCAAAAATTTGTGGTTATTTTTATTAACCTCTTGTCATTTTAGAGCGGACTAAGAAGGATGCGATATGCAACGTACCATTACCGCCAACACAGCCACTGGCATCGCCAGATGCACAAGTTGCGCAGCGATTATTCATTGTTCTGTCAGCGGTATGTAGTGTGTTTAAGTTGTTTTCCACATCTTATATTTATATATATTTGACAATTTTAGAATCTACCCCACTCAATATTGAAGAACATATTCTCCTGCTGGAAGGGATTGATCGATGTATATTTGTTGCCCAACAAGAATTGTGGATATGTTAAATACTCGGAACGTGAAAGTGCGCAAAAGGCAATAGGCGTGCTAAATGGAGCTGAAATTTGTGGAACGAAAATCAAGGTCATGGAAGCGGAGGAGCGAAGCGGTTCAGATGGTGATGATAGCGGCAGAAAGCGGTTGCGTCGCAATTAAGTAAGTAAATCTTGAACGGAATTGATTCTTCGTATCCTATATAAATTAATGTAGCCATAGTTTGGAATTCATCAACGGGTGATGAGGTAAGTTTTTAGCTTGTAGTATAACATCAAAAAAAAAAAAAATTACTGCTTTTGCTGCATACGAAACTCTAACTAAAAGACTCGCATATTTATTCAGACTGCTCTCCGTCTTTCTTTATTACAATTAGTTACTACCGATCTGTACTTAACTTAAACTCTACACACATTCAGCGATTTGACCGATCGAACGTACATAATAAGCAAAACAATTTTTATCTTTCTATTTCCACAGACCCACTGACAACATTTGTACTTAACAGAGAACATTATGTACGAGTAGTTTACAAAACAAAAATAAAAGAAAACAYAWGAATAACAGTTCAATTATAAACAGTTCAACTGACCGCCAAAAAAAAATAAAAACACTACGGAATCAACCAATACCAGAAACAAAACTACACAGAGCGAAACAGACACGGAATACGGAAACAAGAATTACCAACAACCAACCAAACAACCGTACAATTATTGACCTGTTCCAAATGCGATGTAGTACTGAGGACCCACATAATAAATATGTATGTAAATCATATTTATATAGACCAGACATAAACGGAGTCAACGAAACCGCAATGATTGTTTATGAACCACTAACGGGACTATCGTATCAATCGCATTAACGTTACTCAAAACCAAGAAACTATATACATAAACGAACTCTTTGTACAATTTACTAACGTATTACGACAAAGATACGAATATATATATATATACTATTTATACATATATACGGAGAACTTACGGATTGTAGATTCTCGAATAGAAATTCGATTCAATTATGACCTAATAAAATTATAAATACTGTATGTAATGCCTTTAAAGCGATATTAATAAACGAAATTACCAAATACATTGGTGGGTTTTTTATTCAAATATTTTAAGTTATGCGGTTGTCCGATAAAATAATCCGGTACATTTTTTGATATCCGCTACACTTGCACACTGGTTTAACGAGTAGTAAACAATGTGGAACTTGATTCAAGATTCATATAAAGCAAATTTATTGGTCATGAATTTTATACTTTTGCATAGCAATCGAATTGAAATGAGTAATTATAATCAAAATACAAATTTAATTCAAGATCCAATACGCATTATTGATCAATGAACTTCTCGTCCGTTATGTTTTTGAAAACGATGCTCTCGAGGTCTGCCACTGCAGCAACGGAAAGTATCGATACAATACAGACCGATTTCTCCGATATATTTAATTGAGAAGCCCTGAACTGTCAGTCAACAGCTGTTCACAAGACGCTGTGCGCTTTACCTCATTTACTATTGTTTGAGAGTTGTAAATTGTCTCAAAAATATTGTTCTTAAACGTGAGCTAGAAAATATAAATAATCAAAGATGGATCCAGCGCTACTTCGCGAACGCGAAGCGTTCAAAAAACGAGCGATGGCCACACCCACGTAAGTGCATCAATCGGGACATATTCAAAGTTATTAATAATTTGTTTGCATTCACAGCGTGGAGAAGAAAAACAGAACGGAAAGAGCTCCTCCGCCTCCAAGTAGAGATGATTCCCAAAAGAAAATGCGGCCGCCGACGGCTCCAAAACTGGATGCATCCACGTAAGAAGCAATTAGTAGCAAATTACAATCAGGGATCTTTAAATTCAAGTTATTTCTTGTAGATACAAAACTATGTCAGGAAGCTCTCAATATCGATTCGGTGTGTTGGCCAAAATAGTAAAATTTATGCGCACTCGCCATCAGGATGGCGATGATCATCCAYTAACCATAGATGAAATATTAGATGAGACCAATCAGCTGGATATTGGTCAATCTGTGAAAAATGTAAGTTAATAATTGTTCATGATTCACTGTATTATTCTTTATTATCCCTTACAGTGGCTCGCCGGGGAAGCGCTCAATAATAATCCAAAAATTGAGGTCACACCCGATGGAACCAAGTTCAGCTTCAAACCAGTATATAAGATCAAGGATGGCAAAAGTCTGATGCGACTGCTAAAGCAACACGATCTTAAAGGCCTCGGAGGGATATTGCTTGAAGATGTGCAGGAATCCTTGCCGCATTGTGAAAAAGTTTTGAAAAACCGAGCGGCAGAAATTCTGTTCATTATACGTCCCATAGACAAGAAAAAGATATTATTCTACAATGATAGAACTGCCAATTTCTCGGTGAGTAAGCACATTTTGCCTTAAAAATCATTAACTATTCGTATTTATCGTTTAGGTGGATGAGGAATTTCAAAAGCTTTGGCGCTCTGCAACAGTTGATGCCATGGATGACGCAAAAATTGATGAATACCTTGAGAAACAAGGTGAAAACTCAAATTTCTTATTTATTGAACAAATAACTGATTCATTGTATTGCAGGCATACGCTCGATGCAAGATCATGGGCTGAAGAAGCCTGTGCCGAAACGCAAGAAGGCAGCCAACAAAAAGCGCCAGTTCAAGAAGCCCAGAGACAATGAGCATTTGGCTGATGTTTTGGAAACCTACGAAGACAATACCCTAACCCAAAAGGGTGCGAACCCCACATAATAGATAACAGTTTCGATCTATTTAGTTAAGACAGTAGATAATGAGTTCAAAACCTATTCTTAATAAGGAATAAAACTAAAGAAAAAACAGTCGAAAACATGTATAAAATAAGTAGAAGTAGCTCAAAATATAATTAATTTATACGCATGTACTGAAAGCTTATGTCAAATCATTTCAAGTGGTATATCAAAGTGTTAAAAATGTTTCATTTAGATTTATGAATGTTAGTTATCTGCCCTAGGTTTTGCATTTAAAAATATAACTTGTCGAACAAGAACCATAGTTAAAAGCAGAACCGTGTAATCACATAACAGTATATTTGTGTACATTTGCATATGTGTGTGTGTTTGTGCTGGCCTTTGCTTGTGGTTGCAATCGATAAATTGGCCGCGTAACAAAACAAATGCGTCAGTCGATGCCGAAGCGACCCCCAAGCAGGTTGTAAGTAGCACGTAAAGAAGAAATTGCCGTTGCGCTACAAAACGGGAATCTAGAAACCCGTTTTGAGGTTTTTCTTTTTTAATTTCTTGAAAATCTATTTGAGTATTCGCTGCGCGTTTCAGTGTGCAAAAATGCGTTGTGCGGCGTTGGCAATGGTAGCGCTGCTGGCCTTTGGCTGGACGCCAGGTCTGGGCGAAGCTCTGGGAGCTGAGTAAGTTAAATCAGTTTTAGTGTACAATTATACATGGTATACATATATAATTAATTTTATATTTTATATTTAATCGCAGCGATTTGATATACGGCTACGAGTGTAGCAAGGGAATATGTCGAAAGGTCGAGCTGAGTGAGGAAAATTTTGCCTCGGCTATTAGTTTGCCAGTTTGTCGGCTGTTCTGTGGCAGCGACATTGGCACTCTCTGGCCCAAGCCAACGGGCGTGGTGCAACTGGAGCCGCTGATGCGACAGGTGGACGTAGCCAACATTGAATTCCAGATGCCAGGTACAAAAGATAAACTGTGGAAGTCAACGGAACAGCGTTGGCTAAACCTGTTGGAGGCGAAGGTACCAAATCGCAAGATCCTCAAGAAAGGCGGCTACCAATTAAATATTATTGTCAATACTGCGGACGCAGGGGCACCAATGCGTCTCCAGTTGAACACGGACGAGAGCTATGCACTGAGCATAGGATCGAATAGCGCTGGCCAAGTGACGGCCAATATTACAGCTAACAACTTTTTTGGAGCACGTCATGGCCTGGAGACTTTGAGCCAGTTGATTGTCTATGACGATATCCGCCGGGAGGTGCAAGTGGTGGCCAATGCCTCTATTGCGGATGCACCTTTCTACAAGTGGCGTGGACTTCTGCTGGATACTTCGAGGAACTACTACTCTGTAAAAGCCATCAAGCGAACATTAGGTAGGCGTCTTCAACGGTTCCACCTGGAATCCCCATTCAACATCTTTTCCATTTATGCCCCTTTGCAGATGGCATGGCCATGGTCAAGCTCAATACCTTCCACTGGCACATCACGGACTCGCATAGCTTTCCGCTGGAAATCAGCAAGCGACCAGAGCTCTCCAAACTAGGCGCCTATTCACCAAGCAAAGTGTACACTCACAGCGATGTAGAGGATATAGTGAGTTATATATATCTTGTACTCAAATCAGAGCTTTAGCTGGATGTTTTCTTCTGCCATACAGGTGGAGTATGGACGAGTTCGGGGTATACGCGTAATGCCAGAGTACGACAGTCCGGCGCATGTGGGCGAGGGCTGGCAGCACAAGAACATGACGGCTTGCTTCAATGCACAGCCTTGGAATAATTATTGTGTGGAGCCTCCATGCGGCCAGCTGGACCCCACTGTGGATGACATGTACAATGTGTTGGAAGACATATTCAGTGATATGTTTAAGCTTTACAATCCTGATGTCTTTCATATGGGCGGCGATGAAGTATCCGTTGCTTGCTGGAACAGCAGTGCAAGCATACGCAACTGGATGCTGGAGCGTGGCTGGAATTTGAAAGAGGAAGATTTCATGCGCCTGTGGGGCCACTATCAAATGGAAGCTCTCAGTCGTGTGGATCGTGTGGCCAATGGGTCGCATACTCCCATTATCCTGTGGACCAGCACACTCACCGATGAGCGCTACATCGATCAATATCTGGATCCAGCCCGTTATATCATACAAATCTGGACTAAGGGCAATGACAGAGTTATCAAGAAAATATTGAAGCGTGGCTATCGCATCATTGTGTCCAACTACGATGCTTTGTATTTCGATTGCGGCGGCGGTGGCTGGGTGAATGACGGGAACAATTGGTGTTCGCCCTATATTGGCTGGCAGAAGGTCTATCAGAATGATTTAGCTCAAATTGCGGGCGATTATAAACATCATGTGCTGGGCGCCGAGGCTGCCATTTGGTCAGAGCAAATCGATGAGTATACCTTGGATAATCGCTTCTGGCCACGAGCCAGTGCCTTGGCCGAACGTCTTTGGTCGAATCCAACTGAAGGTTGGCGACAGGCCGAGTCGCGTTTGCTCCTGCATCGCGAGCGGCTGGTCGCGAATGGCATCGGAGCGGAGGCATTGCAGCCGCAATGGTGCCTGCAGAACGAGAACGAGTGTCCCATTGATGCGTATGACCTATAGTCTTATATATACTTGTATATCTGTAGAGAGAGTTCTGTCAACTGTACAATTTATTATACTTATAGATATGCTCAATGCAGCGAAAGGCTTTGGCTTAGCCTCTCCCTCGTTGCCATCGTCCTGCTTTGTGCCTGCAATAAACAACACTTGAAAGTGTGCGAGTGACTCGTCGTTTAATAAATTTATGAGATTTGTTTTACTCTAAATGAAATACAATTATGTATATTAATATATATAAGTATGTATGTTATTTCTAAAAGCATCCCCAGTCACAGATCTGAGTATATATGCATTGGTAATTTACTCGTTCCAGTCCTCCTCGTTGCGTCCAAATTTATAAACGATGCTGCCAAACAGAATGAAAACATTTTGCAAAAGTAACGCGACGCCCAGACTTGTGTCCTTTTTATCTATAAAGATAACGTATAATTTTGTCTTTGCTTTATTTTTTTTTATTTTCTTTGGCTTACCATTGTTTATGAAGTCATCGACCATTACCCAAACGGCCGCGATAATAGATGCAAATCCAATGACAAAGCCAATAAGAAGCCATATCTTGGCGATCCTTGCGCCCGACTCTGAGGTGTTATCTTCTGAAATCTAAACACAAACAACAGTAAATGACTCATTTTCTTTGTATACAAGATTCATATTCATATGTATATGTATACACTATGTGTGAATATGTAAGGCTGTTATCTTACATGCTCGCCTTTGACCGTATTGATCATGCAAAAGCTAATTGTGCCAAATATGCCGATAAATACATGTCCTGTTGTTATTTGATGCTGTCCATCTCCAGCCATGGCATCGATTATTATCCACCAGCCTGTGAAGAACTAAAGGAAAAGCAGACAATAGTTAGGCAATGCGCATTAATTCTTACACTTGATCGGCCCATACCAGCAAACCTGCGACCAGCGCAGCATTTTTGTTCCTTGATGTTTCAGATGTGAACCAATCCCTAATATTTCCTAGCAATGCCATTCTAAATTTCGTTTAATGTTTTTCCAAAAAAAAAAACAGATAGTCACACAGGGTTATCTAAGGCAGACGCACCTGCACGATTTATCGAGTATATCGATATACTTGAACTTCTGCATATTTGAACTAGTATGTGCAACAGCTGACTTTTGATAATTTTGTCGGATCTATTGAAAATAGCTGACAACTCTGACTCTAGCACGTGCGACTCCAGCGGTATAAACAACATTTATTTAATTAAATATGAAGAAAAAACTAGAGGAAACATCATCAGATGAGGAAGAAAGTGTTGCCGACGATTCAGAAAATGAAGACGAATTGGATTTAGCGGGCAGCGCAACAGAATCCGACGAGGATGATGTGGATGAAGATGAAACCACTTCGAGGAAGAAAACAAAAGCCGAATTGATTGAGGAACAAATACACAGTAAATACGAACAGCTGAAAGGAACACGACTATATGTACGCTTCCCACACAAGCTTCCACTTGATAGCCAGGAATTTGATGCGAAGGTAAAATCTTTGCATCCGTTAATAACAAAGGCTGCGAAGCCACGGCAAAAGCACGCACGGTTTTGCCTCGTGGAATTCAAATCCAAAGAAGATCGCGATAAAGCGCTGGCGGATATTAAAGTATCAATTGAAAGTGATGCGGCATACAAGGGTATCTTCATTTCGCTGCCCAAAACCGATTCCGAAGAGTTTGTGAACGAGCTGGTAGCACGCAAGCAACAGTCCCTGGAAAAGAAGAAATCAAAGAACCTGTTGAAGCGAGCAAGCAAACAGGTGCAGCGTAAGGAAATCTTCACATCATCCGTGGTGATCACCAATCTGCCCAAAACGACGTCAGTGGCACAGGTGCGCAAGCTGTTCGAGACTGCCGTCGATATACAAATCAAGCCAGGCAAGGGCAAATACCGCGACTCGAGCGCTGCAACAGTCACGCTGCCCACGACTATGGATGCTCGCAATGCCGTCAAGCGGGAGCTGAGCATAGGAGGCACCAAACTGAATTTGCGATTCCATACGCAACAGCAGAAGAAGCGAACGGGAAAAAATCTAAAACGCAAGGCAAATAATGGGGAATCACCGCAAATAGCAAAGCAGAAGAAAGCGAAACGAACTATAAAGGCGGATAAATAGTTAGCAACTATTTAACTATAAAAACTATATGTACTATGTAACTAATCTTTTATAAAATTCAAAATAAACGAAACAACATTTCATGTTACCGTTTAATACAAAAATAGTAGTATATGGATATGGATATATCTGAATGAAAGCACAATTAAATTTTAAAATATTTATTATCGTACACGATATACAATACATACATATGTAGCATTAGGTATTTCTTTTTATATTCATTTAATAAGCCGAGTTTCGAGTTTTACTGGATATACATAAGTTTGTTTACTAAGCCTATATATATATACATATACATATATAGTATATATATTTATGAGATTAATTTCTGCACAGGGAGGGATTTATGGGGTCGCCAGTTTTGTATGTAATTCCAACAATAGATGTGTGTAAATGTGTGGGAGTTAGATAATTCATATGTGTTGTTCAGTGTTATCAAATACAAAATACTCAACATTCGCATATATATTTATATATGTATATAAGATATATGTAAAACTCACAGTAAATGTTATTATTTAATGCCAAATGATATCTGATATCCGTAATTGAAAACGGGAAARCTCCCAGAGGCAAAAAGAAACATCCGTTCACACATATTCATATATATGTATATACTCTATATCAATGCTGGAGCTCCTATTGATTTTTTCTTCTCAACTTTGACACGTACATTAATATTTATGCAAATATATATATATATATATATATTGATAAAGTTCCTGAATGTTGGGAAAAGTAATCATCATTAATTATAAATTTATATATTCAAAAATGCAAAAGCGTTTTAGTATAATGCAAAACAGATATTTAGAGTTGACTTTAAGTTTAGCTCGCTTAGTTAGTTTTTACGTTGAATGAGTTTGTTTTTTTAGCTATATAAAATGTTAGTTTTTCTTCTACCATATTTGTTTTTGTTCTTGTAAATATATATTTTCAATCAAAATCTATATACGCGCTTGCTTCATTCCCTTTTTCTTTCTCTTTTAGATTACTTAACGTTTGCTTCACCTACAGCGACATTTCTTCGACAGTCTTCACATTAATTTTGCTGTTATTGTAGTACATAAATATTCATATACATACAGACATATATATGCATATGAATATATTTATATAATATAGTACATTATAATTGTTTTTGTTTGTTTCTTTTTAAGCTGAAGGGCATTCAGATTCAATAAGGCGTTGAACATCCGCTGATAAAAAACTGCAGCAAAAATCGTGAATCATACGAAATGTATATTATATTAAATATATTCACATATATATGTATATGGAGAGAGATATATAGATAGGTATATATATATATTTGATAAGGATTGAGTGTGCAGCCTGTTTCGAAACGGACAAATCTGTGTTTTTTTTTTTTTTCTTGGAGAGATAGCTGTAGGATATTTTTGAAAATTTCGCGTTTTTCATAGAGATTATATCCGGGGGCTCTTTGGATAGTTATATTTCATTTTTAGCTTTTTTTTTGTTTTTTTTTGTTGTTCTTTTTTGTTATGTATTACATTTGTACCCCGAGTTAAATTACGTGTGCAGCAGCCGATCTCTGGCTGAAGGTGAATTATTTGAGTTTTGATTTGCTGCGCTCGCCAAGAGCTGTTGATGATAGGGCGTTGTGTGTGCTGCTGCTGTGGTTGGTGGTGGTGGTGGCGGTTGAGCGGGTGGTGAACGCAACGGAATCGATGGCTGTACAAAGCGCACACGTTCGGCATCCGTGGCGGCATTGTTCACAGCCGTTGCACCGGCTGCTGCATTGAACGCCGAAGTGAACGCGTTGGCGGCTCAAAGAGTGTGGTAATTGCGCTCATTGCGTGCCTTGTAGAACTTGTAGGCGACCAATCCAATGGCCAGCAGACCCAGGGTTAGGACTATGCCTCCAATGAATGACGAGCCATCAAAGTGTCCACATGGCACAGGCGCTGGCTTGGCCGTGGTAGTTGTCAAAGGCACCGGTGTGGTGGTGCTCGATGTGGTGGGACCAACAGTGGTAGTTGTTATATTTGGAGCTACTGTTGTGGTGGTGCTGCTTGTAGTGATTGGAGCTGGAGTTGATGTTGTTGGTTTGGTGGTGGTTGTTGAAGTTATTGGAGTAGTTGGAGGTGTTGGAGGTGTTGTAGTCGGTTGCACTGTGGTTGTTGACGGGGTTGTGGATGTAGTCGGAATTTGAGTTGTAGTTTTATTGTTGTCGTCTGGCACCGGTACTGTTACAGTGGTTGCCGCCTCGGTAGTGACAGTCGTTTCCTTTGCTAAAAACAAGAGAGAAAAAACATACAAACACACGCATGCGAATCAGTTTTAAAGTGATTCAACTTGGCTTAATAGAAAGTTCTTTATGTTGAAATCTTCTTCAATTACGTTCCGCACAAAAATACATATGTATGTAGGAACAAATACACTCACACGAATATGCTTGCACACAAATGTATACATACATGTAGACGAGTGTGGCATTTAAAATTCCAATACACTCTTACATATACATATGCATTTATAAATTTGTTGTTCAATGCAGGCACTAGCGCAAACACACACTCACACAAACACATACGTAGTTGAATAAAATTCGCTGTGGAAATCGCTTACCTTCTTCTCCGTCTGCTGGCAGACAACGATATGAACCAAACAGTCCAACAAACAGGCACAATAGCAAATATTTGGCTTGCAGCTGCATTATTACGTTTTATTCGTAAATAGCTTGTTTACTTTTTCGCAGTTTTTGAATAGAACTGTGGGGTTTCTTTTGACGTATTAGTCAATCTTTCCCTGTCAAAAAAGTCGGTGAAAAACCAAAATAAGCAAAGACAATCTAGAGTATGGCAATATTCTGTATAAGTATACTGAAATCGGTGCAAATTTAATTGCATATGCCTAATTATGAATATTACTCGGCATTTAACTTACCAACAAAATCGACAAAGCGCAATCAACGAATGATTAATAAAAATCCAATCGAACAAATCACGAACAGTTTTTTTTTTGTAGTAAGAGCACAGAGTTGTACTTGCAACGACTGCGATATCTATCGATTAACGATTGCGTATCTACTTTTGTAACACAGTCGACGGTCACACTAGTCATTCACACACACTGACTCAGACACTGGCTTTTTCAATTGCTTTATGGGAGCGGATTTAGATAAAAAAGAAACGCGTTAATATCGTGCAATAACCAAAAATGACATCTTACGTACGTGCTATGTACGATTTTTCTGGTGAGCCCGGATCATCAGAACTATCCATATCCACCGGCGACATTCTAACTGTGACCAGGAGCGATGTTGGCGAAGGTTGGTGGGAGGGAAAAAACAGTCGAGGCCAAATTGGGCTCTTTCCAGCGGCTTACGTGGAAGTGATGTCCGCTGCTGAAGCGCGACAGTTTACCAGCGGCGGAGATACAAGCTCTACAGCCGCTGCCACTGGTCAGCCCTTCGATCCCTTCGATATGCCGCCACCAGCGCCGAGATACGACCAAACAGCCGATGACGACAACGATAGTATTTGGACAGATAGCGAGGACAATGAAACATATTCAGAGATAGCGCCACCAGGTGGCAAAATGGGCGGAGTCGCACGGAGCAGCGGACTGACGCATTCTGCCAGCGACTACGACAACAGGCATCTACCTGTTGCTCCCAACGAAGATGGCATCTCGCTTAGCTCCGCAGCGGCAGGTGCGAGTGCTGGCACGATTAAAAAGGGCATGTTTGCCAAAAGTTCCGATTCCTATATACTCGGCCTGTCTAGCAACAAGGAAAAAATACCAGAATGCGAGATGGCGTACATAACACAATTAGAGGATTCCATCTACCAATGGACACAAAATCATTCGCCTTATTCCGTTGTTGTGGCTAGTCCCAAAAAGGAGTCAAAATTCAAGGGCATGAAGACGTTCATTGCCTACCAGCTGACACCAAGCTTTAATAATATCTCCGTGAGTATAACTGAATTTACAATTTTTATAAAAGTTAAACGAATCACAATTGAATACAGTGAGAAACTCTGAAGTGTGTTTATGTATTTGCATATGCATGTGCATTTGTATGTGTGCGTAGCTACTGATAACASAAACCAATAAGTTGCAGATCTTTCGTTTATTTGTTCCAATAAGAAGTGTAACGAAGATTTTCGTTTTTATATGTTTTTTTTAAATATAATGCTGTTGGTCGGAGTGTTTGTATATAAATTAGTTTGATATATAAATTTATATATTTTACTGGGCAACAGCTCAAATGTTATAGCAGCAATATTGTGCAAGAAACTTGTTATTGTGCAACAAGTTGCTTTTCTTACCAAAATCCAATTGGAAACTTAACGAAACATAACGAAACGAAACAATTTCTTATTTGTTTTAGAGGCATGACCTCAGTTGGGAACCTGATTGCTATTGAAAAAATATGAATCTTGAATGCAAGAATTAAATTTATTTTATCTAAAGTTAATTTGTTATACGAGCAGGTTAGTTGATTAAGGGTTACTAAGGCAGTCGCTATAAATTTGCTTCCCACAGTTCGTGCCATATTTTGTAGCTTAGTGTTTATTTAYAATGTTGCAAGTTGCAGTTGAAGTTGCGAGTTCAATTGGGGGCAAGCATCGGGGGCAGCTGACCAACTGATTGCCCACTCTCTGCATGTGTGCGTTTATTTGTTTGTTGTTGCTCTTTTACTGCTACTTTACACACACACACACACATCCAAACACACACACACCCTATGACTCAGTGCTCAAGAGCTGTGTCACAATTTCGTAATTGAATTGTTGTATCTAATCTAACATGGAATACAATTCAGGTATCACGTCGCTACAAGCACTTCGATTGGTTGCATGAACGATTGGTGGATAAATTCTGTTTGATACCTGTGCCCCCGTTGCCGGACAAACAGATCTCTGGCCGGTATGAGGAGCAGTTCGTGGAGCATCGGCGTGTACAGCTGCAGGAGTTTGTGGATTGGGTCTGCCGGCATCCGGTCATATCGAAATGTGAAGTGTGGTACCATTTCTTGACCTGCACCGACGAAAAGATTTGGAAGTCGGGCAAACGGAAAGCCGAACGTGATCCGTATATGGGCGTCAACTACTGTTTGGCCATCTCGCCGCCAGACAAGAATCTGCTGCACTCGAAGGTGGATGCCCAAATGGAGAGCGGGTCACAGTTTATACACAGCATGGATATGGCCATACGCAATCTGAATAACATTGCCAACGATATGGCCAAACGTTCGCTAACCCAAAGCAAAAAGGAATTCCAACGCATCGGCGACGGTCTCTCAGATCTGGCCAAGTCGCTGAGCATCGACGAGAGGCGCGCTCCCACCCGGAACGGCGTGCCTCTGTCGGAGAGTGTGGGCCGCATTGGAGGCATTTACATTGGCATCGGTCAACTGTTTGGTGATCAGCCGAAACAGGATTGGATACCACTCTCCGATCGGTTGCATATCTACAGGTGAGTGAAGGATTAGATAACGCTAATGCCTGTGTAACCCAATTAATCGCTTTGTTTTCTTTTTCAGAGGTGTCTTGAACTGCTTTCCGGATATATTCTCGACGCACAAGGGCGCCATACAGAAGCGCAAGGATTGTGAACGTTCGACGGCCGAGGGCAAGATGAGCAATGCCCAGCTGCAGGACGTGAATCGGCGCACAGATGTCATCTCCTATACGGTGCTAGCTGAGCTGACCCACTTCAAGTCCGAGCGAGATACGCATCTGAAGCAAACGATTCGAGCATTCATTGCCGAGCAAATTAAGTTCTATCAGGCCGTTGTGGCGCGACTACAGGAGGCGCATCGCCAAATTGAATAGGCAATCGAATTCTCGGATCTGGATATACTATATAAATTTATATAAATATATCATACCACGATATCACGTTCAGTCGGCTGGGAGCACAAGCAAACACGTACACTAAATAAGCTGAAAACAACATTCGCACGCGCGCATTTCAAATGCTTTACACAAACCGTAAAACAATAATGGAAACAGAAAACTAAAAATTCTTTTTAATTAAACTATACAACCTAATCAGTAATCTTGTTTGTAAGTGAAAAGTTGCGTATTTATACAAAGAGAAAGGAAAATTTAACATTTATATACATATATCTATACACCGAAATTAAAAATATAAACATATACATACTATATATATTTATAAACATATAAAGCAATGTCATTTTTGAGTTGTGTCGCCCATATCTAATCCTTAAACTAAGCTCGAACTCTATAAATGTATATATAAATGATTGACCGATTTCTGTATTAAAATCGTAGTGCCCGATTAATGACTCAGTCAACTGTGTATATATATAATTATATATTATTGTATTATATATACAAAATGAATCATTAATAACGTTAATAATTGCGATATCAATTATTCATCAACAATCTCCTCTTTTTCCCACGTTTCTCTAAATCTAGAACCAGTTTATCCATATCAGCTGAGTCATTTTATAAAAAGCGTATTTTTATGTTTTACGTAAACTTTTTTTTGAAAATATTTTTGTCTTGAATTTTCAAGGGTTACGTATAACAATTCTTCGGTATATTTATAGCGTTGTGTTATAGATTTTGAGCTCTCAGGTCATTCTTGACACTAGAGATTTGAGTCTTCTTCGATTTTTACCCATCCCCATAAGCTCTGCAACGAATATGTATCCAATAGGAGCTTTGCTCGACCAGACCTGGTAACTATTCATATATAAGCTTTTTTGACCGTATGCAAATTCAGGCTAGAGTTCGAAATTTATGGCCTGCATGACTTCAAATATTTCTAAACGTAAACAAAAAATATCCAATAATTTAATATATTCCATAAATTAGACACCGCCCGAAACACCATTAAGAAAAAGTCAAATGTTTATTTTTTGCTATTCTGTTGCCTTTATCAGCGAAATTCTCTAAAAGGTTTTTTCCACTTTATTTTTCATGTTTTTGCTTTTGCCATTTCTCGTGTTGTTTTGTTTTTTATAAATCTTTTGTGATTTTCATTTTTGTTTGTTGATAAAAAAAAACATAAACGTAAACATATATTTTTATATGTAAGAAGATTGCACAATTTTTGTTTTTTAAAGGATTCACTTTGATATATAAATAATAAGCATAATAATAATAATAATGATAATCATAATAATGATAATGATAATAATAATAATATAGGGAAGGGAAAACATTCTTTTTTGTTGTTAGCTTTGCTCATGCGGAATGAATATAAAAATTGTTTTTTTCTTTGCCTTTTAGCGCTGCGTTGTAAAGGGTTCAAAGAGTTGGGAAAGGTTTGGGTTTAGGGGCGTGGTTGAGGGCTTTAAGGGTCTCTTAGGGTCTTAATAAGTGTAATACATCTAGATAAAAACGCTATATACACACACACTTGAGTTAATAATAATAATAATAATAATCATAATCATAATCATAATGATAATAATAATAATAATATAACGCAGCTTGGGTTAACAATAATACAATAATTAGGTTTACTTTTCTTGATGCTGTTTTCAGTTGCCTCTGCTTCTTACTTGTCTCATCTACAATATTTTGTTTATATTTTTTCCTTTTTAGTTTTTTTCTTATTTTTTTTTAACAAACTACCAATAACAAATTTTTACTAATTTTTTTTGTTTTTTTTTTTTTGTTTTCCTTGCTTTTTTGTTTTAATTATTGTTGCTTGCCTTGTTTACCTTGTTGCTGTGTTTTATTTTTAATATTTTATATGTTAATTTAAGGATTTTTGTATTCCTTAGCAATTCCTTGCGTTAAAATGGCCTATACGTTCCGCCTCTACTTTCCAAGTACAGTTATCATTATTTATGCAGTTATTTCTATATGATTTATGTTAATATGCAAGTGTTTACTTTGGGTTAAATGTTGCCCTCGATTCGCTCCAGTCGGCCTAACCATAATCGCCCGAGTACCGGCCATGTTTGTTGCTGCTGCTGTTGCCGTGCACTGCAGCAGCTGCTGCTGCCGCGGCTGCCGCCTGTGCTGCCTTTTCGGCGAGCAGTGCGGCCTTCTGTTGCATGTACGGATTGAAATGTTGCATGTACATGGAGGCAGCAGCTGCTGCGGCATAGTTATTCGCGTAGTTGTTGCTGCTGCGCTGATTGTTGTTGTTGTTGCTGCTGCTGTTATTGTGGTTGCTACTGCTGCTGCTGTTGCTATTGTGATTGTTCCAATGTTGCTGTTGTTGTTGTTGCTTGTGCTGCTGTTGCTGTTGATGTTGATGTTGATGTTGCTGCTGCTGTTGTGATTGGTGTTGGTGGTGTTGCTGATGCTGCTGTTGCTGTTGCCAATAGCTTTGCTCTGCCATGTAGCCAGCATCTCCAGCAACTGTAACAGCCGCATCATTCTTCTGATACAGATATGAATTGAGCAGCTGATGATTGCCTTGGAACATGTTCTCCATGGCAGCAGCAGCTGCTGCCGTTGGATAACTATATTTGTTGCTATTATTGTGATTATTTTGATTGTTTGCTGCTGTTGCTGTCAATCCCTGTTGCTTCGCTGCTGCAGCTGCTGCTGTCGCCGTTGGTGCGTGGTAATTGCAACCATTGCTGTTGTAATCCAGCTGTTGCTCCTCGTAGCTGTTGCTGTTGCTGCTGCTATTGTTATTGTTGTGGTTATTGCTGGCCATATTTGCCGCCGCTGCTGGCTCCTTATGAGCCCGGCTTGACTGTCATTCGCCAGTTGCCGTCACCGTCGTCCATTGCCAAGGGCTGGTGTAGCCCTGCTTTGGATTGCTGTTCGGGAATGAAAGCATATTTTATTAGCGGTCAAAGATATTGTGAAAATAGATATAGTATCCGTGAGGTATCTTGACTAATTGACTAAACGCTAGAGCAACATTTTCGAATTGCTATCACACACTTTTCGAATGGTCAAACGAATTATTTTAAAAAACTCTTCTTTCTATATCTTGACATTCGAAAAATTTGAATTTTCCAACTAGTTTGTATTTCTATTATCGATTGACAATCAAATACAAGATATCGAAACTGGAATTGACATTTAATTAATTGAATTATCGATTTAGTTCGATTCAAGAATGATTGCAGTTTGACCTGGGACTCGTATTTACCTGCCAAAGAGTGGATGCCACAGCGCCGAATTGGCATCTAGTCCGGCGGCGCCACCTGCCGCTGCAGCTGCGGCCGCAGCCTCTGCCAAATGTTGCTGCTGCTGCACCTCGTGGGCCAGCATGTTGCCGCGTTTGCGCTGCTGCTGCTGCAGAAGTTGCTGTTGCTGCAACTGTTGCTGATGCTGCTGCTGTTGTTGCGACTGCGACTGGGATTGCTTGGCATGCTCGAGCGGATTGTATGTGACGCTGGTCTTGCTGCTGCGCAGCGTGCGCCCGGTATTCGCCTCCTTGGCCAACTCGAGCGGCGATTGCTTGTGCATCGAATTGCGACGCAGGGCATCGAAGGGCACTTGCAGCAGTGGCACCATATTGCTTTCCGGTTCCAGCAGATTGGATAGCGACTTGCAGGTGAGCCGCGGCTTGTGCTCTGCGGGCGGCTGCGGGGCAGGCGTTGTTGCAGTAGGCGTGGCGGGCGTGGCAGTTGGAGCAGGCGCAGCAGGCGTCGCCTTTGGCTGCTGCTTATTGAAGTCGGGTACGTGCAGCGGCGCGGCATCCGCAGGATCACGCCTCGCTCGCTTATGCTCCATATGCAGCTCCTGCGATTCCTTGGGCAGATGTTGCTGCTGCTGTTGCTGCTGTTGCTGCTGGAGCAGCTTATGCATAAACGCCAACTCCATGGGATTAGAGAAGCCATTGAAGGCAGCCGTTGAGGGCGTCTGCTTGGTTGGCGTCTGATCCTGATCGCTGGCGTTGGATTTCTGCTTCATGCAATGCTTATACAGCTCATCCAGATGCTGCAGCCCTAGCTGACTGTTGTACAGAGGTAGCAGATTGCTCATGAATTTGCGCTGCAATCCCAGGGGGTCCTTGAGGGTCTTGAAGAATTCCTGCGATAGTTGGCCGAAGTAGGGCAGCCAGAGCATCTGCTGCAGCAGCGCGAGCGTTGTGGCATTCAGCTCCTGCGACATGCTTGAATCGGCCGCTGGCGAGGATTGAGGCACTGCAGCGGAGCTCGCCTTGGCAAGCAGCTGCGCGGGCGGCGCTGTAGGAGGTGGCGTGGTTTTCGTGGCAACTGCAGCAGCATGTTTCAGCAAGCTGGGAGTAGGACTGGGACTAGCAGTTGCTTTGCTGCTCTGTTGCAACGGTAGCGGCAGAGGCAGCGGAAGAGGCAGCGGCAGCGGCARCGGCAACGGCAAAGGCAGCTGAGAACAAGGCGAGGCAGGGGTGACGGAAGCAGAGGCAGAGCCGGGCACCTGGACAGGCACAGCCAACGCATCACCTGACTTCGACGACTTGGAGGATTGCTCTGAATCGTTTTTGAGTATGGCCTCCAGCTGCTCCATGGTGACGACCAATATATTGGGATTCTGTATTATCTCCGGATAGGCAAATGCCTCGGGCAGCCGCAACTCTGGCCTGGTGGTCAGCAGCAGCGGTATCTCTCGAGCTGGCGATGCCAACACCGCGCCCAGACGATCCTTTGGCACTAGAATGGGATCGGGCACCTTCCACTGGGGATTATTCAGGAGCATCTTCAGCTGAGTTAGTGCATCCGGATCCTTGTCCATTTTGATGGGCTTGGAGCGTTTCTTCAGCGGCTCCGCTGCGTCCGTATCCTCATCATCAATGACCACCGTATGAAGTTTGTCCACGCTCCGTGTTGTCGTCGCCTTGCCCAGATCCATAGGTTCCGCTTGTTGTTGCTGCTGCTGCTGTTGGGCGCTGCCATTYAACTTGAGAAACTGTTCGAATATAATATGCTTGATCGTCTCCGAGGTGGTCTCCACCTCGGCTGGTATGCTCGTCGCTGGCATGGGCAGCATCTCTGGATCGGGCGATTTCGATTTCAGTATATCCGAACTGGAGGTCACCGCGCATTGGCTGCGTGACTCCGAGGGCGGGCACACCTCCTCTCGTTTCTTGTAGCTCAGATCTTTGGGCGTCTCATCCGGCACAGTGATAGATTCGAGCTGTTCATGCTCCTTGTCGGGCAGCACAGTTGCCACAGCATCTGCCTCCGTCTCTGCTTCTGGCTGCTTGTCAAAGCTGTCGATGCCCAGGAAGAGCTCGCCATTGAGTCCTTCGATCTCGCCGGCCTCATTGAAGGACAGGCACTTGGGTGCATCGCTGCTGTCCATGCCCAAAATGCTGGGCAGCTCCTTGCCAGCGACCACATCCGGCACACAGAAGGAACTTAAGCCGGCAGCTCCACTGGCTGTTCCCTGCTGCTGCTGYAGCTGCAGCTGTTGCTGCTCCATGAGATTATCTTCGCAGCCGCGCTGCACCAAAGAATCAAGCAGCTCGGCTCCATTGCTGCCATTGTCGCTGCTGCAGTTGTGCAGCAGATCATCAGCGTCGTCGAGCAGATCCTTGAGATGTTTGCTATTCGCTTCTAGGGTTGCATGATCTGCTGGAGCTGTCTCCAGTTCCGTCGCCGCCTCCACCTCCTCCTCCTCGGCGAGCGGCGCCTCAGCAGCTGCAACGGCTGCTGCTGCAATCGCTGCACCTGCAGCTCCTTTGGGTAGAAACAGACCCGTCTTCGGACACAGCTGCAGCTCCAGCGACGCAGGCGATGGCGAGCGGGATCGAGCTGGTGATTGGGATCGGGATCGCGAGCGGGAGCGGGAACGTGAGCGTGAGCTCTGATATGTGGGCGTATTGGCGTTGCTGGTGCTGGTCTTTGTGGCCCTTGTCGAGGCATTCGTTTCGCTGTCGAGCAGTGCATCAAAGCAGGCTTCCGTGGACAGGTGCTGCTCGGAGTGCTGCTGATCCAACTGTTGCTCCTGTTGTTCCTGCTGCTGAGGTGGCACAACAACTACAACATTCTCAATGACAGCCTGATCCTCCTGCTCCTGGTCCTGGTCCTGGTCGTGATCCTGTTCCTGCTCTAGCTGCTGTCGGTGTTGTTGCTCCTGATCCACTACAGTCCACTCCGGCTGCTGTTCAGCCGCCTCCTCCTCCTCTTCCTCCTCCTGTTCAATGGACTGTTGCTGTTGCAGCTGCTCACGCTTGACCTTCAGCAAGGGCGCCGCCGCTGTGCTGTGGAAGAACTTGACAATACGAGTGGATGAGGCATCCGTGCGTGGCATAGAGCGCCAGCCGTTCGTTGTCTTGGTCAGGCGTATGCGATTGCGTTTATCATAATCCTCACAGCGCACCTCCACAATGCGCGTGTCGTCCTGCTTGACCCACAGAAATATGGGATTCACGCTGGGCGTTGTCGGAGCTGCAGCTGGAGCTGGGGCTGGAGTTGGAGCTGGTGCTGGAGTTGTTGCTGTCTGCCGAGCGGCTGGCGACAGTTTCTGGCTTTGGGTGAGCTGAGGCGTTGCTGCTGCAGCTGCAATTGCAGCCGGCGCAGCAGCCACTGTTGCCGTTGCTGACGCAATTGCTGTAGGTGTAGCTGCAACTGTTGCTGCTGCAGTTGCAGTTGAAATTGCTAATGTTGCATTTGATGCTGTTTTGGTTTCCAGTTTCACAGCCGCCAGCTTTGCCCTTGGCTGATCAGGCTCTAGCTGTGGCTGCGGTTGCAGTTGTGGCTGTGGTTCGGACTCTAGCCGTGGCTCCAGCTCCGCCTCCGATACCGGTACCGGTACTGATACCGCCTCTATTGGCTTGGCCGCAGACAGTTCCACATTCGCTGCCGCGCTGCACTTTGGTTCCGTTTTAATGTCACGCAACAGATTCTTATTGATGCGCGGTGTGTTGGCCACCTTTAGGTGACCAAATTTTTGCTTGGCGCGCGTGCCCCGTGCACCGCCCCGACCGCGCCGACGACGCGTGGGCTGCTCCTCGAATACCAGAAAGATGTCGCGTGCGATTTTTCGACGCTCCGATTTTCTGTGGCACACAGGAGGCGCTGCATCGAACTCCTGTTTAACAATAGCTGCAGCGGCGGGAATAGCGCTGCTGCCCGATGTTGTGTTGCTATCATCATGGTTACCGTTAGCCTTATCGCCGTTGTTGTTGTTGTTGCCAGTATTACCGTTAGCTACACATTCACTTGGCCTGCAAGTGTTCCTTGGCATTTTACGGCCGGCTGCTGGTGCGCCACAATTGCCACGATAATTAATCTTCTACCACGATTGTCATTTTATATTTTGCGTACATATAGTGTTTAATTTTTTTTTCTTGTTCGCTTTTGCCTTTTACACCGTATGCTCTTTTTCTTGCACTTCTTTCTTATTGGAATTTTTTTTTGTTGCTCTTAGCTGTGTGTTCGCTTGCTGGGTATATCTTTACAGCAGTTGTGGGTTATTCTCTAGCATCTCTTGCATTTTGTGCATTGTTCCAGCTGCGTGCCTAATTTATTTAACTATCTTCACTTTATATGCTTTGCCTGTGCAGCTATGCGCTGTGTGTTTTACGTTGACAAAATCAATGAATTTTGTATATGTACTACCTTTGCCTCTGCGCGCAGTGTGACCGAACTTCATATGGTATCGAAATCGATACTTTGAATACCATTTAAAGGCGCCCAAATTTGATTTGAGTTCACTCGCAATAATTATAAGCATATTTACATAGGTTTCTATGACGTTTGCTAACGAGTTTTCTTAAGACAGTCTTATTTGATCAATCTGAATAGTGAAACTTAGTTTTTCTTAATATAGTCCCGGTGACTATCTTAAAATAATAATAAAAATATTGCTTCTTATTTGTAATACTTCCTGATTAAAAATCAGGAAGCTTTTGCTAGAGTAATATATTTCATTAAGGAAAATATTTTAAAAATAAAAGAGTTCAGTTGAGATGGAAATTGTTCTCAATTCTCTATATAATTGCTAAGGTTATTGGTTTTGTTCTCAAATGAATTATGAATACAAATTCATTCATTCACTTACGGAATGCCCGTCATAGCTGAAGAGAAAAACGATATGTCAGATAGTAAAAGAGAATCGATACATCGATTTAAATCTTACACACCCACTACCATCGCTAGTCTTATCTGTGTTGTTGCTCTGCGTGGACGTGATAATTTTTCGTTCTTCATTCGGATGGCCGCTGTGCTCTTTATAATTTTTCTAATTTCTTTGTAATACATATGTACATACATATATGTATATATCAGCATTGCGCAGTGATATAATTAAAAAAATAAAAATATTATAAAATTGCATGTATAAAATACATATATGTGAGTGCATAAGTGAGTGTGAGTGTGATATAGAAGTAGAATAAGTACAAAATGGATGCGGGCGGCGATGAAACGTTCCGACAACAACATCAACAACAACAACAGCTACAATACGAGCACAGCTGGAAATCGTCAAATCACGGAAATTCCTTATCAGACAGTAGGGATTATGACACAAACTCAACGCGCACTTCGCTAACAGGTTCCCCGCCAATCACGCTGGACTTCGAAGGTTTCGAGGACAAGGCGCTGCTGGCATCGCTACTGGCACCGAAATTAGATGCGGACGTTGGCAGCGGCAGCGGTAGTAGCAGCAGCAGCGGCAGCATTTACAGTCATGCGGCTGGGGAGCAACAGGTGCTGCAACCATTAGGCATAAGTTTAACACTTGAGGCGGACAATGCAGTCACTACAACAACAACAACAACSTACACATTGCTGCAGGAGACAACAGACAACAACAACATTGACATAGCTGACGATGCGATATTCACATTAAGTGCACCCCTGTTGCTAACCAGCACCACCACCACCAACACCACAACCTCATCCACACACATACCGACACATACACCCACACCCACACCCACAGCCACAGCCATTGCCATGCCCATACGATCAGAGAATGCAGCAGCTGTGGGCGCATACAATGTGGACGACATTTGCTTTACGCTGGAATATCAATTTCAAAATCAAGAGCTCGTTCAGGTGCAGCCACCCACCGTGGTGTCCTTCAGCATGGTACCGGCAAATGAAGATCCTTCGGCAACAACAACAACAACAGCTAGCAGTGACAGCAACAACAACAACAACTACAACTCAACACCAAATGTATCAAGTTCTACTCCTACTACTATTTCTACTACATATTTCACTGTCGGGACGAGGTAGTAAGCACTGGCAGCCACCCTTTGCATGCTCTGCAAGTCTATATATTTATTGCTTACGCTAATCGATATTGTTAATAGTGATTGCCGTTATAACACCTGCAGTTATTGTTGATATTATAATCGATATTTCTATTATTTTGAGTGGCATTTGAGTGAATGTTGAATGTTGCCAGGTGTTTGCACTTTAGCCCAATTTTTGTGTCTATTGCTGACCCCCGCCCATGGCTAAATTTTCCACTGCCCACACAAATGTGCCGCTGCTGCATGTTTCTATCGTCTGCCTAGAATGTGACGTGCTGCCAGCCCATATACAATGTATCCATCTATCCTTGTCTATCGCTCGTTTCTATTTCAAAACTAATTAGACTCAAAAGCCAGCCGTAAAAAGCAAGCATATATCTTCCCCTTCCTCAGAAATTTTGGCAAATTTCAACAATTCCAATGTCCACTTATTACAACGCGCGTTCGTTAAATGTCCGAAATGCTTGCAAGTTGTTTGCTAATTGCCTGATTTGTGTTCCGCCGGTGTTCTCCCACCTCTAATGCATACCAATACACACACACACACTCTATGTATATGCATATGTATGTGCTCTATGCTTTGGGAGAATGTAACGGTTTTCCGCTGCTGCTGCTGCTGCGACGGCGGCGTTGCAATCGCCTTGTGCGATGATTGTATCCAAATTGTTTGTTTGGTCTAAAAATAATTATGCCGATGAACGCATTTAGATATTCCCCCACTACATGACACACACACCTCTACATACATACATTAATGCTATATACATATTTAATTTTGTATACACATGCGTATACATACTTGGAAAGAAAAACAACCAATTCTGTTCTCATATTCATTCACACTATCTGTAAATGTGCTGTTTTCCAATTGGATAGCCTATGATACAATTGGAATCCAGAATATTCCATGAAGTTGAAGTTGAATGATGTAAACAACAAAGAGACTTGCATCAATTCTAGCTTTTCTTTGAAATTTTCGTGTTAATTTTGAAAGCCTATAATTCAGTGGGGTAATGTTTGCATTTCTTATCAGCATTTGTTAGCAGTTAAGATACTTGGTCTGATTGGAGCACAATCGTTGTTCTTAGTGGCTTTTCATAAGCTTTCAGTTTGTTGATTTAATTTCACTTAACATTTTATTTAGTATCCTAGGGAATAGAATTTTTTGTTTTTTCTTAGATGTTAATTTGAAATATTTTTATTCCCTCATCTAATTCGCTATCTACGTATGTATACGATCCACATCTAATTGGCATATACAGATGCAATTTAACCAGTTCCAATTTGGGATCCCAGTGGAAGCATAATTTTAAATGATTTGTAATGACGTGGTTAGCCTTAGCTATTGTAGTTGTTTTCATTTTTAGTACAATAATAATTATATTTATATATACTTTTATCTTTTCATTTTTTTTTTTTTCATATTTATTGTTGTTGTCGCTTAGCTGTTCGACCCTCTACGTCTACGTCTGCGTCGCTCTATTTTTATCACTATGAGTGTTCCACCTCAATCATATTTCTCATTTTTCAGCACTTGTGATTAGGGCAGGTTGTGAAAGGGGCAGGCAGAGCACCTAGAAAGAGGGAGAGAGAGCAAGCGATTGGGGTAGAGTGAGTGTCAGAGGGGAGGCCACCAGCTGTGTCCGTGACAGGGACAGCGATTGGCAGCAGAGAGTGTAGGTAGTGGACGAAGAAGCAGAAGAAGGGGGACTCCGCTGCGCGCCCTGCCCGTCAGTCACGCCCCCACATTAATTTCTAAAATTCAATATTGTTTTATTGTTGTTTTCTTTTGGCTTTTCCTTTATAGTTTTGTATTTCTGTATATTTCGTGTTTGACCATGACAATATTAAATATGAATTAATCAGCTTATTAAGGCTTTAAGGCGTTTCCAGCTCAACAAATCTTGTTTTTCTTTTGTTATGTTTTTGTTGTTTGTTTTGATTGATGTCTCTGCTTTGCCTGTTGTCAACTGTTTTAATTAATGAATTTGTTTTCCTTCTGCTCTTATTTTTGTGCCCTAACCTCACTAAATACATACAAATATATACATATGTATATATAGCTTTTTAATTTGCAAGTACAGTGATCGCTCGCAAATAGAAACATGACAGTTATGTTATTATTGAAATCTTAATGAAAATCTTTCTTTCTCATAAATCAAATTATCGACAGAATTTTATTGAACCAAATAGTTGAACCAGGAACAATATTCTAGTTTGATGTTAATGTAGCCCTGGTCGGCAAATTTATTTTAAAATTGACATTTGTAAAATAAGTTTACTTTGCGAGCGATCTTGGTATGTTGTATGTATATGGTTAATGTGCTTGCGCATATATATACATATATATGCACATATATAGAGATATGTATTTATATATATGTATTCATATATCGCGATTCTAACGGCCCACTGACACAAATAAAACGCAGCAGCTCGCTCGACGCATTTCTTTTCGTTTGTTTCCAACTGGCGAGCGATGTACATAGAAACACGCACACACACTTATACACACAGAGAAAGAGAGAGCGAGAGAGAGAAAGAGAGTGGGAGAGAGACATATAGAGATATATAACCGAACGATCTTGCAGCTATATCGAAGAGCAAACGGAGCTTGATGAGGAAGATGAGCTGGCTCACTGCATCCATCCGGGCGCTCTGCACAAGGACACCGACGAGGATCAGCTGATGGCGATGGCGTACGAGGTACTCAGACCCCATTCCATGCACAGCCACGCCCACGCCAACTGACACACGCACACACACAGTCGCAAATGTGTTGTTTAACTAATTTTTGTAACTCCGCTTGTAGCTATATCAGAAAAATACACCAACTTTTTAATGCTAGAGCTAAAGTCAGCAGGCGAGCAGGAGCAGGCGCTCCAATGCCCCGCCCATTTAATCAACTGCTAGTCGTCTAATGAATATTGTTAACATAAATTGTTCGCTTTCACAATAAACAACCAACTCGGTGCGTAGTTATAGTTAAAAAGAAAATATAAACGAAACCCCTTCGACACTTGACACAATCCATTCAAATACTCATCCAACAAACATCTATAAACCACTTCCTCACACACATCGCATGCACTTAATCCTTAAATATATAATTTATTCCGACTTACGAACTACATTAATTACATACATAATTAGCTAACGACCTAAAGACGACTTTGTACATAGTTATTTACATAATTATTATCTAAACTGTGTGGCTCGCATAGCTAATATTATGACATCTGTTTGAATTCCAACTCGCAGAGCTCCGATGAAGCTCTCAGTCGATATAAATGCAACTATGAGAATTGTTATCGTAGCTACAGTACAATCGGAAATCTGCGCACACATTTAAAGACACACACAGGTGAGTGAAAAAAGTTCAACTTGTTTTTTGGTATAACATTTCCAGATCTAGTAATAAATTAACCCTATAATAATGTGTGAAAGCAGGCTATCACGGCTAGACTGTTGGCCTAACGATAACGTTAAGTATTATCAATATCGATAACAAACTGTATTATGGAGGCAAGGTATCATCGAATTTGATTTTTGTTTGTTTACTTTGTACTCTGTGCATTGGAATTCTTCACCAAAGAATTGGCCAAATTGAGTAACTCTAGTTGTATGTCCGCACGTGCCTTCTCCTCCACGCGTTTCAGTATGCTCTCGATATAATTGTAGAACCGATATCCCGGTGCTTCCGCTGGGATCGTACAATTTGGCTGCTTCTGCACCAGCGCACTCTGCAGCAGGCCCATGACTTTGTGAAACTCTTTCTGTGCCTGCTGCAGTCCCTGAAGCACTTGTTGATGTTGTGGTGTGCCAGATGAACTGGTTGGGGTTTCGTCCATTCTGCTAGATCCCAATTCGCTTAAGTAGCCACAATTGGTTTCATTATTCTTGAAGCTGGCCTGCTGTTGACTGGCAGAATCATCATCATTGCCATCTCTCACATCCATATCTCGTTGATCACTCTGGTTGCTAAGAATATGAATATATATTTAACTAGATTGTGAAATTTAAATCATTAAAATGTACCGGTTGCGTCCTAGCTTAATATGGCCTATCAGAAAACTAAGTTTCTTGTAGTGGATCCAACTGCTTGACTTCGTTTTAGTTTCTATGCATTTATTATATTCCCGCACGAAACGATCGCGAAGCATTTTCCAGAGATGTTGGCTTTGTTGGCTTTCGGTATATATGTATATATATTTTAATATGTAGATATCCTCTTTTACTTGCCTGGCAATCCACATTCAAACGAGACTTGCGCCCACGCATTGTTTCTTTTATGGTGCTGACGAAAATCAATGTGAGATTTGTTATACAAGCAGATATGGCTCTTAACACTTTTGATTAGTTTATCTTCATGGTCGACAATTATTTTTATTTAAATATATATATTTAAAATCGTTTGCTACTGGGAACTTTCATGCGTTCATGCGCTTTCTCGTGGATGCAACGTTAGGCAACACTAGCAGGCGCAGCTGTGACGTCATTGCAATGCAGAAAATCATTTTGTAAATATTGATATTTACAATGAGAAAAATGTTTTTGGACTTATTTTCTTAGTACATATCAAGCTTAAACTAATATCTAGCAGCGTTATTTATATAAAAGTGAAAAAGCGCTAAGCAACCTCTTTGCTGTATTCCTTCTGCTTACAGTTTGGTTATCGATAAATGTCACACATATTCCTGTATTTGACCGTCTTTCCCATCACTGGCAACGCATACTATGTGCTCCATTGCCGTTGAATTTGAACGAGCGCGCAATATTTAATTGAATAATTAATAAACTTTTTATTATTTATTTAGTTTTATTAATGGTGTGCTTATTCATCCTTTGCAGGTGACTACAGTTTTAAGTGCACGGAGGAGGGCTGTAACAAAGCGTTTCTCACATCATACAGCCTTAAGATCCACGTACGTGTGCACACAAAGGTAAAGCCCTATGAGTGCGAGGTGAGTGGCTGTGATAAGGCATTCAATACGAGATATAGGCAAGTAAATAAAGTATATTTATATATGTATATTTATAGCTAATCAGTTTTTATTTATATATTATTAGATTGCACGCCCATTTGCGTCTGCACAATGGCGAGACATTTAATTGTGAAATGTGCCAAAAGTGCTTTACGACCCTGAGCGATCTGAAGAAGCATATGCGCACCCACACCCAGGAGCGACCTTACAAGTGTCCCGAGGACGACTGCGGCAAGGCGTTTACGGCGTCGCATCATCTGAAGACGCATCGGCGCACGCATACGGGCGAGAAACCTTATCCCTGTCAGGAGGACAGCTGCCAGAAATCTTTTAGTACCTCTCACAGTCTTAAGTCTCACAAGAAGACGCACCAGCGACAGCTGCTCAACAAGAGCAAGAAGAAATCCAAGAGGGCAGCACTCAAACTGCTGCAGGAGCAACAGCAAGGACAGCAGCAACAGCAACAGCAGCAGCAACAACAACAACCACTCGAGGAGAAGTTGGAGCTGGAACAGGAATCGGAGGCTGATATGGTGCTGCTCAATCCGAGCAGCCAGAGCTCGGAGACGACGAGCAACGATAGTGGAGTTGTGCTACAGCAGTTGTCCAATGTATTTATGCTGCCCGAGACATCGCAGGCGTATCCCTTATCCTATGCCGCCGAGGAGGAGATACCCAGCCCGTGGATAGACGCAGGCGTTCTGGCATCCAAGCCTATTATGGCCCGGGCACCGTTGACCGATGCCTGTGTGGCGCTGCCCACCGAAATGCCCAGTTTTGTGGACTTAAAACCCAACTTTGGCAACGCCGTCAGCGGCCAAATGGAGGAACTGGCCATGCCACCGCCAGCTCCATTGGATGAGGAAATGTTGAATGGCAGCAACCGAGCGGCACTCAGCCCCAGTTTGCCCACGCTCGAGCTGAATCCGCAGAGCATCGAGGAGCTGCTCAAGGACGATAGTTATGACAACGATGAGGACATGGAAACGGAGTCGTTGCTCAACGACATTCTCATGACCATCGACAACAATAGTGCGCTGTTGCAGGCTACTCTGCAGCAGGCGGCGCAAGTACCTAGCGATGCCTCCGGCCTGGTCGAGCTGGACATTAGGGATAACAAGCCGACGCTCAAACAGATTACAGCAGATGCGGGCATCTGCAATTGCACCAATTGCAAGTGTGATCAAACCAAGAACTGTCATGGTGGCGATTGTGGCAGCGGTTGTGGTGTCATGGCTCCAAACACGGCCACAACCTCACCCGCGCCCACGCCCACTCCAAAGCCCAAACCCATTACGACAACAACAGCGAGCGTAACGAACAGCGGCAAACGGATCTGTGGCAGCTCGTCGACCAGCAAAAAAGTGAGTAAACGCCAAGCGGAAATGAATCAAAACATCGAGGATGTTGCTTTGCTGCTGCAAAATCTGGCTTCAATGAGCGGCGGCGGCAGCTGTGGCAAGCCAAAGCCAACTCCCGCTGCCACTGGCTGCGGCTGTGCACCAAGTGGCGGCGGTGGCGGTGGCGGAGGTTGCTGTGGTGCCCCTGCTCCTCCTCCTCCAACTGTTGGCTGCTGTGGCAGCAAGCAAGCGATGCCTACGCCCAGCACCGGCGGCTGCTGCAGCAGTCCGCCGCCCGGCTCCGGCTGCTGCTCAGCCAAGCCGCTGCCGCCACCGGCCATCACGAGCAGCAACAGCAGCGGCGCTTGCACCTGCAAAAGCCCAGCGGAGGGCGTGGCCAATGGCTGTTGTGTTGTCATCTGCATGAAGACGTTGCAAGCTTTGCGCAAAGTGCTGACGCGCAGGAACCTCAATTTAATGCTTTGCCCGCAACAGAACTAAACAAAAACAAAACAACAAGGAGAACAACAACATCTTGTGCTACAACAACAACAACCACAACAAGTGCAGCTGAAATCCAAAATAAAAAGCTTTAAACTTAAAACATATAAAGAAAAGTATTGTATTCGTGCCTGTGAGAAAGTATTCCATGCAAAAACCAAAAAAAAAAAAAAAAAAGGATCTATTTAATTTTGTTATTTGTTGTTGTTAATTCGTTAAATAAAACCAAAATAACACCTAAAGCAAAAACCGGCTAAACTAAAAACTTACAAATTGTTCAATCATAAAATTTTATTATTTTTTATGCTTTTATCTAACGCTAAGATTTGTTTTTTATTAAGTAAAATGAATATTTAACATTTATATAAAGTTTATTTACACAAGTAAGGAAAAATGATATGTGGAATATGAAATTGTTAGCCTCGGTTAGCCGAATTTTAAATACACTTCCAATTGGAAAGTGCATACATACACATATACCAAAAAATATATATACATACATATATCGATATACAGTATCACTTTGATATTTTGAAATTAATCGCAATTGGTTTCTGTTTTTCGTTTGCCATTTGGCTCGTCTGTTTATAGTTTTATAACTCTGTCAAGGTTTTGCCTTAATTGCCTCCCACTGTTGCAGTAGTATTAGTGAGATGCAGAAAGCTCGTATTTAGTCGTATAAAGTAAATGCGATTGGCTGGCTTGTACTTCTTTCTCCAAAGGCGTGAAAGAGATAAAGATAGTTGCTGAATGCAGTCCCTGTCAGGATCTTCCTGACAATGCTAAGTGAGAGTGAGATGGCTACTTAAGCTTTTTCAACAAGAAATGGGCAGACTGAAGAAGTAGAAGCTCCATTGGAAGGTGATTAAATTGTATATTCGACGTTATTATTTCAATTGTACTTACTATCAAATGATTTTTCAAATTAAGCCAAGGCTTAAACACATGCACGCATGCAAGCCCTTTATACATACATATATACATACATACATATCTTCACCTTAGAGGTACACACAAGCCATATAATGAATAAATAAATGAATAAATCCCACTGCAACTAATAAAATGCCTTAAAATCAAAATCAAATTCATTTATGTGTATTAAAAATTATTGGATATATGTATATGTATACCTATATATAATCATCATATTTTATAGCTGACAACTCTGTATACAGCTGAATAAAAATATAACAAACATGTTAACGTTTATTTCTTTATTCATTAATAATAACTGTTATTTATTTATTGTTATTGTTGTGGTTTCCTTTGTGCAGTTCACTTCGGAATGCAAGCATTATTTTGTTGTATTTATTTAAATTTACTGGAACTATGTTCTAAATGAGAAACACTTAAACTATATTTCTCTTGCTCTAATATATATGTATTCATATATATATATGAATGTTTCTTTGTCTACTTCTATCTAATCCTCGCCAGCTGGTATGGCTTCCTCTAGACGTCGCACGAACTTAACACGCAGCTCCGTCACATTGTCGCCCTTCAATTGATCCTGTAAATGAAACAAATGCGAAAAAGTTGCCTTGAAGGAGCAGCAACCAAAAAGTATTCCACACTGACACACGCACACGCCCACACCCACACACACAGTGAAGACTCTCTTGAGCGAACATCAAAGGCTTAAGACACTGTTAAACCCAAATTCAATCTGATTTTTCGAATAATTTTCATTGTTTTTTGTTAATGAGAAATAAAAACTTATGATTGAAATTCTAAAACTCTTTTTAATTTAACTCATAAGTTTTTAAAAATTTAGTTGAATTTATTAGACAATAAAAACAATCAAACTTGAGTCGTTATTCGATTCGATCCAATTAAAGCTTGCTGTTCGAGTTCAAAGGAGTTGCAAGAACTCAATAGATTAGCAGCTGCTGTTCGCTTTAGCAGAGCTTTCACTGTACGCTGACTGTGCATGTGAATGTTCTTTAAGCTATGCAATGCTATATACACTATGTAAACTAAATATCATTTATCATATATGTATATCTGTACCTGCACGAACCAGCTCTGCACCTCCAGCTGGACCATCTCGAGGGCGCCGCGTATGCAGCCGCTGAGTATGGCGCTATAGCGCAGATTGCTCAGATCGCTTGGCAGCTCTACGAACTCGGTCAACGGATTTGTGTCGAAGAGCAGCGAGAACTCATCGGAGGCTGCCGACCAATTGGATATGGTTGGCTGCACGTTTAAATAGATGCGGAACGCTTGCTGTATACGATCCGCAGTCTCTCGCATCTCCAGGCAGCGGGGCGCTGAGGTTCTGGCCAGAAAGTCTTCGATCAGGCGCATGCCCATGTTGTAGCCGATCCGCTCCAGCTGTTTGTTCACATCATCCACATTCTCAAAGTCCCGCAACATCTGTGTAACCAGTGCCCCGTATGTTAAAGTCAGGAACTCCGAGTTCTATATATATTTGTGTGTGTTCAGGTTTGTGGGTGTAGAGAGAAAGAGAAGAAATAAAATCGTTGCAGACACTCTTCACACTGTCTATATCTAAGGCTAAAAACATGTTTTATTTAGGTAATAATTGAGTTTTTCAACCTAGCCTATACATACTTATGTTCCTGTAGGCCGCTGTTAAGTTAACAGAGTGAGGATCTAAGTTTTTACATTACATTTTCAGCTTACGCTGCTAATTAATTAACTTAAGTTGGGCATTTGCACTGCTGTTAAATTAACAGCTTAGCTCACTTTTAGCACTTCTGTTAAATTAACAGAAAAAGATTCTTTCGGTTACATATGCACAGGTTTTAATAAATACACATTTATTTTCCACTTGTCCTGAGTCTTACACTTAATTACATCTAAATAACTATATAAAGTTTACAGAACTATGTTAGATGGGTAAGGGGACGAGGGGTGGTAAGTGATATCTACAATATAAACTCAAGCATCGGCTATTCTGTTTTGATGGCCGTAATGGTTATGCTCGGCGTTTGGTGTGGTGCAATCAGTTTGGGTGGTGCTCGCGCTGTGCCACGGCTCAGTGTTGCCCCGCCACTCGCTGCTAATGGCAGACCATGATCCATGCCGCCGGACGAGTCGCCTTTCTCCTGGGCGGAATGAAAGCGGCCGCCCTCGCCGCGCGCCCGATTCATGGCATGCCGATGGCGAGATTCATGTAAGTATTTGCAACGTTCCTTGGGTATGCGAGATTCCAGCTTGGCACGCGCCTGCCGTCGGATCAGTATGCGTTTATACTGTTTGGCATTCACATAGAGCGGCTCCTCGTCAGCCTCACCCTTGGAATTCTCATCCTCCTCGCTGTTCGTATTCGTACCCGTGGTACTGGTGCTCACGTCCGCACTGCTTGCATTGCTGCCCCCGCCACCACCTACTCCACCAGCGATACCAGTGGTTGTCGTCGTCTGCAGCTGCACTTGGACTTGTGCCTGTTGCTGCTGCTGTTGTTGCTGTTGCTGCTGTTGTTGCTGCTGCTGCTGTTGCTGTTGTTGCACATTGTTGCTGGCCTGCGCCGCATTGGCAGCAACAGCTGCTGCTGCATTGACCGCCGTCATTTGTGGCAGCATTATAATCTGCTGGCCGCCTGCGGGCGCGCCTTGGTTGGCATTGGGAGCCGCTGTTATCTGCACCAATTGGCCATTTATGTTGAGGTAGTGCGGTGTGGGTTGCGCAGCTACGGCAGCGGCTGCTGCTGCGGCATTCGGATCGAGCGATGTGATCGTGGGCGTTTGGTAGAATATAGTCTGGCCATCGGGCAACTGCATCACTTGCATCTGAGGCTGTTGTTGAGCCTGCAGCATGATTTGATTGGCTTGCAGTGGTATCAATTGAGGCTGCAGGGCAGCTGCTGCTCCGCCTGCCTGCGCCTGTGTCTGCGGTTGCCCGATTATGATTTGGCCTCCAGCTGTCGACAGCAATGGCATCGGTATCACTTGAATTGGCTGTCCAACTGCTGCCGTCCCCGCATTTACGCTTGAATTGTTGGCACTCGCGTTGGCCGTGTTGTTTGCATTGTTGTTGCTGTTGCTGTTCGTGCTGTTGCTCATTCTTGTGGTTATTGCTGCTGCTGTGCGGTTACTGCTGAAATGGTTATCCATAGCGCGCAGGTTGCGCTTTTACGATTCGCTAGCGTTTCCCTCTCACACGCCCGCACTTACTGCAAAAGCGAATGCGAAGCCGATTTTGAGGGTGGGTGGCACTTCAAATGGTTCGGTACTTAAGACTACGACCAAAAACAAATAACTAATCTTACAAGCTAGTAGCCGTGAGTGTTCTGTTCTCCGTTTTGCATTCAGCTTACTCACCACTTTCTTGGCATCCAACCTAGAGGCTTGTCGAGACATTTTCAGATGGTTTAAATTTTAATAAATAAAAAATGCTACAAAATTTGTGAAAAACTTTTTTCTTCAGTGGTGGGTGTACTGCAGATGAGATACTTTTGCGATATTATATTTGGTTATCGATAGTTTCTGGTCTTACTTACGTTTGCGACTATTGGTACATTTGTACCAATATTGGTACCTATACTTTTTATTTAAATATTATACACGGTTTTTCAATCTGGCTTTATTTCTACTTTTATATTATAGGACAATATAGGTAAATACAAAAGCCTCATTTATAAATTGGGGAATATATAATTAAATGTTTATTAATTGCATTTTAAACCTTTGGCAGCCCTGAAATGCGATAGGCTAAACAAACTCAATGTTTATCGAATAGGCTAATTTGTCGTTATGATAATAACAAACCAAGTCCAAAGTACATATAGAACCGCAATTGGCTAGTTGCGAATTTAATGCGATAAGATGGCTTCAACTGGACTGCTGGTGGTGTCCAATATTAAGCAACTAGGAAAATCTTTGCGAAGTATTGAAAAATACGTAAACTCGCTGTACATTCACCTAAATGTAACGGGCTCAACGCAATCTGCATCGTCACCAGCTTGGGGTCGGCTTATATCACAGTTGTACGCCGATGGCAGCAGCTATGTGGGCAACAAAGTGGATCTGCGSGTCCTGGTGGCACCRCTCAAGGAGCACTCAGCTGTCGGCAGCCTGTCATTAAGA